GATTATTAAACTGTGCGCATGGATTACTAAACTGTGCACATGGATTACTAAACTGTGCGCACAGATTACTAAACTGTGCGCACAGATTACTAAACTGTGAGCACGGATTACTAAACTGTGCTCACGGATTACTAAACTATGCACATGGATTACTGAACTGTGCGCACGGATTACTAAACTGAGCGCACGGATTACTAAACTGTGCGCACGGATTACTAAACTATGCGCATGGATTACTAAACTGTGTGCACGGAATACTAAACTGTGCTCACAGATTACCAAACTGAGCAAACGGATTACTAAACTGAGCGAACGGTTTACTAAACTGAGCGCACGGATTACTAAACTGAGCGCACGGATTACTAAACTGTGCGCACGGATTACTAAACTGAGCGCACGGATTACTAAACTGTGCGCATGGATTACTAAACTGTGCGCACGTATTACTAAACTGTGCTCACGGATTACTAAACTGAGCGCACGGATTACTAATCTGTGCTCTCAGTTTAGCAATCCGTGCGCACGGATTACTAAACTGTGCACACGGATTACTAAACTGTGAGCATGGATTACTAAACTGTGCGCACAGATTACTAAATTGTGCACACGGATTACTAAACTAAGCGCACGGATTACTAATCTGTGCTCTCAGTTTAGCAATCCGTGTGCACAGATTTCTGGCAGCTGTTTTTCTTTTTTTCACCACTGACCCCCGGCGGGCTCTGTATGAAATAACAACAACAACAACAACAACAACAACAACAGTAACAACAGTAACAACAACAATAATAATAATAATAATAATAATAAATGTTGCACCAAAGGTGCGATTGTTTCGGAGAGCCGAGCAGCCCGGAGTGGGCGGGGCCTGTCTGTCTCCTCCTTCCCCAGGGCCTCTTCCTCGGAAGTGGATGCATCCGTCTATGTTCCGTTCATTTCTTTTAAAATATTTTTTATAACAACCCCTTCTTTCCCTGACACTTCGCWCCATGGCAGCCACAATGGACGACTAAACCGGGCCACGGGTTCTGGTTCCGCCCGTCTTTCTTTAATCTTGCATCAAGAGGACCGGATGAAACCCAACTGTGGTTTTCTCCGCTTCGCAGGGGAGGTAAGGGCTCCGTCTAATCTCTGGAGTTCTAGTCGGACATTTAAACGTCCTTTCGATACGTTAGATGTTTTCAGAAGCAAAACACTATYTTTCTTATATTATTTCACATTAATGGAAGGTAGTGACCTGTTATAATTATTCATTCTAAAGAAAACTGGAGTTTGATCCGTTGTAGCTTTTTAGCTTGCTAGCAGGTCAAGCTAGCTCCGTTCCAGGAATTAGCCTGGKATATTTTATGAAATGTTTAGCACATAGATGTGCTTTATTTAGTAACGTTCAAAAGAAGAAAAATCTAAAGAGTCTACAGAAAAACATATTTATTTAAATATTAGATAATTTAAAGATTCTTGTTTCTAAAATGTAATATTTAAGCACAGCTGCAGCAGTTTTCACTGTGTTTACTCTGTAAATGTAGCTTTTTGTGCCTCCAGATAACACCTGCAGCCACAGATCTTATATAATATATCAGGTCCAACGACCAGCTGGATAAACAACAAACATGTAACAAAGTCTAATAAAGAAAACTTATATTAAAAAGGTTTTAAACCCCAAACAATGGATTTAACAGATTCTGTTC